TAGAGACAAACAGAAGAAAAAGCAACATTAGTATAATTTAAAAAATATAAATTTATTTTATGCATCAAATAAATATCAATCAACACAAAATAAAAGATCAAAATATAATTCAAATGAAAATATAAATATCTTTTATGCATTAAAAACATTTTTCGATTCTTTCAATCTTTAAGTAAAAAATATTTTAAATATATTCATATTGATTTTAACAATCTCAAGCTGAAAACATTAAAAAAAAAATTTAAACACGAAACACAAAAAATATTTATATCGAGTTCCAAGAAAAAGTCTTTCTGCTTTAGTTTACTTTTCCCTTCTTTACAACAGGTAAGTATCTTTGTTGAAACGCGAATATGGTTGGAATACTTAAAAAATATATACTATAATATTTGTTTGTTTTAAATCAATTTTTATCATAATTTATTAATTTTGAATCAATATGTACAAAACCAGACTGATGATTCAATCAATAGAATCAAAATGATAGCATTCAATCGATAAAATCAAAAACATAACTAATGGTATTGCTTTGATGCAGGCAATACAGTTGATTTATTTGAGGTTATTGACTAAATCAAAAGCCTGGAATAATAACATTCAAAATTTTGATCATAGATAAGTGTGCATAAATATATAATGTATGTATGCGTATATATATATATATATATATATATATATATATATATATATATATATATATATATATATATATATATATATATATATATATTAGGGTATTGTGAATTGCTTTGATTCGTGAATCAAGTGTCGCTTCGATTCGAGTCAAAAAAAAAAAGATTCAAGTTTTTTCAAATCATATTTTTGCGAATTATTTTGCGAATATTGCTGGTTTTTTTAGATTTCTAAAGCTAAAATGTAATTGAAATGGGTTTTTCAAAACGGGGGGAGAAAAAGTAATTGAAAATAGTTCTAACATCACTTTAAAACAAACGCCAAAAATATAATCCGAGCAAAAAGAATTTGTTCAAAGAAATATTTTTATCTTTTTGGAAAAAAAAAACAAACTTAAACTTGGTTTTCACGAATAGCTGATTCGATTCATGATTCCATTCGCGAATCAAGACCTGCTTTGAGATTCAATTTGAAACAAAAAATGTCGATTTGCAGGGCCCTAATGACAGTCTGTTCAACTCCTTCAGAAGGTTTATCACAAAAATAGATAAGTGTTTATATATATATATATATATATATATATATATATATATATATATATATATATATATATATATATATATATATATATATATATATATATATATATATATATATATTTAAACAATTTAAAAAATGTATTTTACAAAATAGAGTGCTCAATGTTCTTAAAAGAACAGAGCAAATTTCTGATGAGTCTTGATGAAACACAGTGTAAAATGAAATAAATTTTTTGTTAAGAGATTTTTTACTATTTTATAATATATATATATATATATATATATATATATATATATATATATATATATATATATATATATATATATATATATATATATATATATATATATATATATATATATATATATATATATATATATATATATATTTATATATATATTTATATATATATATATATATTTATATATATATATATATATATATATATATATATATATTTATATATATATATGTATATATATATATATATATATGTATATATATATATGTATATATATATATATATATATATATATATATATATATATATATATATATATATATATATATATATATATATATATATATATATATATATATATAGCCACATCGTAAAAGAGCACCATAGCAACAGGTTACACAAGTTTAATGATTAAGATTTTCTTTTAACCCTGCAAAAAAAATTGAATCCTCATATAAGCAAAAAATACAAAATAGATAAAAGGTTCATCTTACTGAATAAATTTAAATTAAAAAATTTCTACGCTCAAAAATATTTTTAAAAAGGTTTAAAAATTGTAAACAAAAAAACTAAAGTTCCTTTAGCTGAAAGTAGATATTATTCACATTCAGAGATCTTGTATTTTATTTTTAAAATTTCTTCGTACAGCTGCAAGCTATTTTCAAAATAATTTCATGAAAAAACTAGTTAAAAACCTATTTAATTATCTAAAATTAAACAAATTACTCGTTGTCAATGATTAGTTTCTATAATCCTGTTACCGTAGCCATTTTAAAAAACCTTCAAGAAATGTAATTCCACTGCGCATGCGTATAATAACTTTCCTCTTACAAACAACCGTGCTGTTCTGAGCCTGTATAGGGTTTCAAAATATACATCCGCGATAGTTTAGCCATTAACGTGTTTCAGCATCAAAATAACATGTTTTTACTATTTTTTAATTTTTTTATTTAGCTTTAACGATATAACCTTGTTTCATCAAATCTTTTCTCAACCGACATTTAAACAAGATCCTCTTACTGTTGTTAATGATCACATCAAAGGTTTAGTGTGAAATGTCTTTATACCTTGTTTAGTTTTTGTATCTTGTAATAAAATTTAATGAATAGGAATATTTAACGATTTTTACAATTAGTTTTTAATTATTATAGATTTTTTTTAACCTGTGACTGCACAACTAGTCAACTTACAAAAATAAGTTCCCCAAATAAAATAATTGCAATGAACTTTTAAATTTTAATGTAACTAATACCACCAGAAGACGATAATTGTTTTTTAGTTACGTTTCAAGGATTTACTGATTTTTGAACCTTTTTTTGAGACTAATTGTCTTCTTTTTTTATCGCGAAATTTGCGTACAAAAACTTGCTTTAATGTCACTCTTAAGGTTGATTTGACCAGTGACATCACTAAATATGGGTAAAAACAGTTCAAATTTGATTTAAATTCCATTTTTCAGTGCTTCGCCGTGCTATATTAGCATAATTTAAATAACTACGAATAAATGAGTAATAAAGTTGAGTTAGACTTTGTTTTGGCTTTTAGAAACTTTAGTACCAGTTATAGTCGGTATGCATTTTCCATGTGATGTTTTTATCAAGATACGCACCCAAGAACTTTGTTACATAATGTCTTTATATTTCAACATCATCAATAAAAAATTTTGGATGAAAAGAAATTTAAATTTTCTGATCCAAAAACACTGATGAATCACATGTTTATATTTGATGTTTATTTAATTTTTGCTGTTTTTTTTTTTTTTTTTTTTTTTTTTTTTTTTTTTTTTTTTTTTTTTTTTTTTACGTTTTTGAGTCACTATGGGCCGCATTTAATAATTCTCGTATTCCGTTAATTTTCGTATTCCGTTAATTTTCAATCTTTGTTGTTTATAGTTTTTCTTCAAAAAATTCCAAAAAAGAGTTTAAAAAAAGTGGCTACACCAATTACTATTTACAGCCGTGGCGCAGTGGTTAGAGTTCTGGCTCAGAATCAAGAGGTTTGACGCTAGCTCTAGCCCAATAAGCGACATTGGTAAGGAAAGAGGCGTGAACCAAGTAAAATGCTTTTCCACGGTGCTCTGTGATTAAAAGTACGGACTTCTGGGAGCATCTTAATAACCACAAAAAATAAAATAATGAATATTCTTTTTGATTATTTTTGTAGTTTTCATTTATTGTCATAGTAAATAAATTACTTTCACAAACACAAACAAGGTTTCTGAAAGAAGATCGTAATGATCTTATCATCAGAACCTTTTACAAACGTGTGTATACCGGTTTTTACATCCATTTAAAACAATCATGACAATCATTTAAAACAACTATGACATTCATTTAAAACATCGCCACAATCAAGTGATTTTCATTCAAAACATTTAACGCATGCGCAATCTCAACATTCTATATTATTTTTTAAAAAAAAGGTTTTCTTTATATTCTTTATATTCTTTTTATTTTTTTATTCGATTTTTTTTAATTATTTAAAATTTTATTTTATTTAAAATATGTTTATTTTCCAATTACTGTTGAGGTATGTCATCTGACCTAAGACACGCTTCGAAAAAGTGTGTATAATAGTTTGATAAGTTAACATTAGGAATAGATAAGCATGCCTCACGCATTCTTGAAAGTAGTTCATTTCTTCCAGCTGGGGCCGTATTTTTTTGCACGTTATTCTTAAGATAAAAAAAAATCTCTTCACACAGATTCAAGAATGGTGAATATGGTGGCAAACATTTTATTTGAATGTTCCTCACTGAACATTATGATGGATTCTGACATTATCCATCACCAGGGTGAATATTCTTGAAACAAAACTGTATTGACTGACACACTGACAGCTTCGCAGTAAATAATATTTAAACCATTGATGGCGAATACTATCGAAAGGTTACGCTGTCTAGGGTGAATGATCGGGTTAGGTGTTACTTCTCTTCTTGCCCATGAATGACTGCGATACATTGAAATTGAACAAAATAATTTTATTCCAAATATAAGGTGCACGATATGTGCGGTCATAGCGCAGTGGTTAGAGCGCCTGCTTTATAAGCAGGAGATCCAGGTTCGAAACGAGTTCTGGAAACGAGTTCGCGTCACAGTAAGGAAGGAGGCATGAACATGGATAAATGCACTTCCGCGTTGCTCTGTGACACAACCTTTGGGTCGTCTTGGGTACCTAAAATAACAAAATTAAAAAAAAAAAAAAAAAAATATGTAACACAAAACTGATTCAACTTTCGATAAAAGTTTGACAAAAAGTAATAATATAATCTATTGTACATACTTTCTAGTATTTTTGAAAATATGGAGAGGGCAGATATAGGACGATAATTACGGATATTTGTTTGGTCACCTTTTAAAATTAGGGTAATTTTAGCAATTTTTAGTTGTTCAGGAAAAATTTCTTGGTGGTTAGATGCTCCATAAACTTTAAAAAGGATATCTTTTATGTATTCAAAACATTTTATGACTATATAGCAGATGACCGTTTATGTCATCTGCTCCAGTTGATTTATTTTTTTAAAGAGATCTGAAAGCTCTTTTAAACTCTTGAAAAGATAGTTTAGAAGATAATTCGTTGGAACCAATGCAATTATCCATCTGTACTAAAAAGTCTCTAAATGTAGCATTGGTTTAAGGACCTTTATTTTCTAGTTTGTGACCAAATTCAAAGAAAAATTTATTAAATTTATGAGCTATATAGTTCTTGATTCGCATTTATGTGCGTTATCAACTATAATTTTCTGGGGGAAGGAACCTAAGCATCATTTTTCTTTACCACAACATTATTAAGTTTTGAATTATTTTTAAATTTATCTTTGAATATTGAGTAGTAATCTTTTTTAAGTTTTTATGAATTTATTAATATAGGTATTTGTATTCTTTTATTTGTAGATGATTTTATTTTAAGATATTTTATATAAAGATTCTGTTTTATTTTTGATGTTCTTTTATATCCCTTGTTAAAAATTCTTAAAACTTGAGTCTTGTTAAAAATTCTTAAGAAACTTAAGTTTATCAAATTCATAATTAATCCCCATTTTATGAAATTCCTTTTTTTTCTTTAGTGCCTTTTTTTAAAGTACTTTGTTAAAAAAAAATGCTCAAATTCTCACTCACAACGTCAGGTGGTCGATAACAACAGCTTAATAATGTTTTTTGATTCATTGTGTATAATTTCAATAGTCAAAATTTCTTTATCGCCATTAGAAACACTTAAATCATTTTTAACATAATAAACACGTGACGGATCCAGGCGAGAGGGGGGGTAGAGGGATGCTTTTTAATTGAGTAGGCTTACTCTCTTGATTAGAGGGCTATCAACACGAATAAGAGTGGATTACCCTCTACTCTAAACTTAAAATTGAAAGCTAAGAGTTGTTTTCCTGAACAGTAAATTACCTTTTGTTTTTATCGCCTTTAAAATTACCTTTTGTTGTTATTTTTTAACGTATTATACAGGGACTTATTTGGCTTATTCTTTTTCTTAATTTAAAAGCAGTTCTTGAAAGCACTTATTTATTTATGTGTTTCTACTATTTAAAAAAAACATTAAAAAATACAAAATTGTTGGAGTGTAATCTTAATCAATAGGCCGGGTGAACAAAAATGAGCAATTATTTTTACTCAGTAATTAGTCAGCTTTACGTAATTAAAAACTTCACCAATTTTCGTTAAGTCTTTATTTACGTAAAGCTGACCAACTACTGAGTTAATTGCTTAACTTTACGTAAATAAAAATTTCACCAAAACTCACGTAAAGCTGACCAATAACTAATTAAAATCAATTGCTCATTTTTATTCACCCGGCCTAATAGCATAGGGCTTTGGTGACGCCATAAAATGATTTTTACGACTGAAACTTTTAAAAGACTGAAAATTTAGCTTTAATTTAAAATACTTTTATTTTTAAAAATAAGAAAGTTTTATTTTGTTTTGAAATATAAAAATATATTTAAAAAAATTTCAAAATAAAGTTTAAAATATTTACAAACCAAACTGATAATCGCCATTTTTCCATTGCAAGGAATAAGATTCCGTAAAAGTTGATAAACAATTGATATACTCATATTTGCAAGCTATCTATACATATTATCATTGCTTCGCATACTTTTAAACCAATCAGTGAACGCAACCTCGTCAAGTTTTAAATCGGTACAAAAGTTACCTTTGCATCTTTTATAATAGTCGTTAATTAAAAATATTGAAAATTCTGATGATTTATTAAAACTACAATGATTTTGCAAATATCGATTCCACCGTTTTAACTTTCTCACCTCTGATTCAAATTGTGGAGAAAAATTTTTAATTTTCAACCAAAATGTTTGATTAAAGTGATTGTAAATCAAATAGTCTAACTTGTTCCACTGAAAAACTCTTTGTTTAATTTTTTCAATATTTTCTGTACTTTGGACTTGAGTCGTTCTTGCATTATGTACACAAAATATAACATCTTTTAAATCCCACATCAACTCGTTTTTTAACAATACTAACGACTCTTCCATATACTCTGTTATCATAACAAGATCAAAATCGCGTTCAATACGACGTATTACACTGTCGATATACTCAGAGCTGTCATTCCATACGTCAAAACCCATATCAAAACCGTTCGGATTCTTCGTTAAATAAAAAGCTCCTTCTCCCATTGTGGGGTCAGAAGAATGTAGAAACCTTTTTATATCTTCATCTGACATTTTGAAAAGTGCTTCTAGCAAAGGTAAGTCTTTCCTAAGCGAATAAAACTTTCTAAAATCGAAATAATTCGCTGTAGATTCAAGCTGCGAATATGGCTCTCGAATAATTGTAACAATTTTAGTATTGTTACTAGCCATAATTTTGATCATGTTCTCTTTGTTAAAAACAGCGTGGTTAAAGATAATGTTATACTTATCTTTGTTGCTATGCTTGAATAAAAATGTGTCATCGAATTTGCTTGGATAACAAAATCTATGATCACAAAAGGGTAGAGCTGGTTTCAAACCATTTAACTTTGAATATCTTTGCATAACATTGGTCACCGTTGTAGATCCTGTTTTATGAGTTTTTAAGAAAATGATATTTTGGACGAGACCAGAAGATATTTTGCTAAAAAACATATATTTTAAATTAATGCATTTTTATCATCTGAGGCAAAACTCAATTAAAACATCTCCACCCCCACCCCTTATCCCCAGAAAACCCATTTAAAACGTTCACATCGATATTTATTTAAAACTTAAAAAGATTGTCATCATAACAAATTATTATATATAATTGTTATATTTAATAATATTATATATAACAAATTGTTTTGAGACATTTTAGTTCATTCTTTTTAGAAAATTCTTTACGTAAGGTTGAAAGTTACGTAACCGTGACATAACATTTAACCTTACGAACACAATATTTGGTCTAAATAAATTTATAATAGTAGATACCTTTTCAATCTTATATTTTGTCACGTTTCTTAAGTTAAGTTAAAAAAAATGGTATATCAAAAATTAAAATAGAGAATTTCTGCTAACCAGAAAAAAAAATTTCAAATTAAGAAACAAAATAGAATATAAATTTATATTAAAACATTTGTATTAATAGTAATAAATATATTAAAATATAATTTTTATAAACTATAGTTAATAATCAAACACGATCGTTTAAAAATAAGATATAAGTTTATTAAAAAAACAGATTAAATAAACTTAAAATGATTTTCAATTTTAATAGTATGTAATTTTCTCATAAATGTAGCAAAAAATTGAACAATAGTGTATTTAAAAAACAGGGCCGACGACACTTTTTTTTTTAGAAGAAAATTCTAGATATAGAGGACTTTTTTTTTAGAAATTGACGAATATGCCCCTCTACTTCAAAACCCGTGTCATCGGCCAACAAAAACTGTTTATAATATAATAAGTAAATAGCCCCTTTTTAATGAATATAAATCACTCAAATTTCTTAATACTTGATTCTGATTACAAACCCTGAGATCATTGATTAATATAGTTTAAGATATCTTACCGGATCGCTTCTAGTGGGTACTATCTTTAGGGACAATAGATAACTGTCAAAAACAAAAATGTCAATTTTTAAATGTCAGGAAAAATCAATATATTTTTGAAAGATCTTATTAAATACCTTATTCTTCTTTAAATTGCAGCACCAAAATAATGTGCCACCATCAGCATTTTTTGTTGACAAGGTTCTAAGTCATACGTAATTAAGTGTGAACGATTTCAAGTAAAAATCTCCACTTTATTCTCTGGTTCTCCCTCAACAACAACAATCAAACCAACAATCGATGGTTTTTCTGGAATCTTTGCGTTGATAGGTCATCTGTAAATTTTTTGTTATGGGTAGTTTCGCAAGAGTATAAGTTCTGGAGTGTTGTTATCTAATTTTTATGTTTGAATGAGTAACTGATGTAGATTTTACGGTCGCATATAACGGTTTGGTTGTCAAACATAAAAAAATTCTCAAAAGCTTACATCTTTTAGGGTTTCTGCTGCATCATGTCGAAATGCCATTGCAACAGATTATAATTGAATTAGATGGAAACACAATTTTTCATAAGTTTTACAAGAAGCTTGTTGGAGAAACAGTATCTAATCAAACTCCTAATGAACAGATGGCTAATTGACATAATATACACTATCATTGTTTAAAAGTAATGATGGTGTATGTTAGGACTGAACAAACATCTCCTACGTTATCGGCAATAAATAGGTATAATTTTTAACTCAATTTTGTAACATAGTTTCCTACTATGTTAATTTTTTTTTGTTTTTAACGTTTGTAAATAAATTCGGGAGGTTTTATTAAGATCTCTAAATGCTACTTAAATATAACTAGGCTATGAAACAAATCAAAATGGCTAAATAGTCAATAAAATGTGATTATTCAATCCTATTACCCGAATTAAATATAAATCCTATTACCCGAATTAAATATAAATATAAATATATATAAAATACCCGAATTAAAAATAAAAAATAAAATTAAATATAAAAATAAAATTAAATTAAATATAAACCCGAATTAAATATTCAATCCTATTACCCGAATTAAATATAACGGCAAGGCCGTATGAATGAATAGACGTTTAAAAGTAAAGGTATGCGCGCTATCCATTGTTATAAATAACAAAAGCAAAACAATAGGTATCAGCTGCGTCAAGCAACTTTTAGACTCAAATATCCAATAAAAAAATTAAAATAATATTACGTTAAATATTGTAATTAATATATTTTACTACGTTGTATAAAAATGTTTTATATATTCAAAAACCCTTGTATAGTTCCAAGTAATAAAATAACAAAGTTTTTTATTATATAGTCAATAAAATCATAAAGAACTTTGCTCGTAAAAAAAATTCAGTTACCGAAAAATATCGAAGCGAAGTTGAGACAAAAAATGCTTTGATTTTCGTCAAAAACAAGAAAAATTACGTAAAAATTCATTTATGTTTCTCTTAAGTATTTTACGGGTAATTAATTATTTACTGAAAGAAGTTATCAAAGAGGCATCCATAAAGTACGTATTGGGGAGGGAGTACATGAATTACTCCCTCCTCTTTGTACGCACCTGTATGCATATAAAAACTCCCCCCCCCTTCCCTCTTATGCTTACGTACGCATTATTTATAACAAAATCAGCCCTCCTTCCTTCCCAAACGCAACAATTTTTCAAAACATTAAAAACAAAAAAACCTTCAGTTTTATTTTATTTATTTCTGTTACATAACATAATATTTAACTCCTAAAAAAAAATTAAGATTTAGTGTAGATAGAAAACGAGATATAGTCAAACTGCGTAAGTACTCGTTATCCCTCCCTGTACTGGTTTGAACGTTTTTGAGTAACCCCTTCTCCCATTCCTGCTATTTTTTGGAAGAAAAAAAATATGATGTTAATTTAAAAGTTGTTCAAACTTAACGCTTTCCATAGTATAAAATTTTTGTATTTTTACTTTTTGCATTTATAAAATCTTTTGTGTTTATTTTATAAAACTGAAGAAGTAAATGATGATTCAATCGCTTTTGAGTCGAGGTTAATCGACTATATTATTTCATTATTCTTAGAAAATCGCTCGTTGTTATTGGTATCCTCAAGTAAATTTTAAGAAGTTTTGATTCTTCAGAAAACATTATTGAGACTCCTTTTATGTCGTTCAACATTCATTTTACATGTAATATTATAAGTTTACCGAATAGTGTAAACTTATAATATTATAAGTTTACCGAATATCTAAATAGTGTTGAGCTTTTAATTTATAAACTATACCATTTTTATAGAAACCTTTTACAATATATAAAGTTTTTGTATCCGTATCACAATTTGACAACTTTTTTAAAGCGACTAATGATTTTATCTAATTTGCTAGGAGCGGTTGACATAATTGATTTTCTATATTATATAATATACCTATGTGTCCTATTTGTGATTTTCTTTAATGTCCTATTTGTGACTTTTTAGAGTATTTTCATTATAGCAAAAATGAGTTAAACGCCGGCGCAGCGTTTAATTGCAACCAAATTTATCATTAATAATAAGCATATTATTAAAATTGTAAAACAGAAGTGGCGCGGTAGTTAGAGTTCTGGCTCAGAACCAGGAGGTTCGACGCCGGCTTTACGGTACTAAAAATTGGCAAGGAAGGTACGTGAACTTCCTAGTTAAATAAAAATTTGGTCTTTGATAAGACCATTAGGTCTTCTTATAGCATCTTAATAACCAATGATATATACTAGATGTCTAACTACAATCCAAAAAATGAGGCCGCTTTTGCCGTAACTAGAAATAGCTTCCACAACATTAACTATTTAATATTTTGTCCTTTTTACAAATGGCTGATTAAATTTGTAAACAAAAAAGCGGCTTCACTTTTAGTTTAATAAAATCCCGCAAGTTAGACATCTAGTATATATATAAATATTATTGACAATACAAAAACAACAAAAAAAACAACAACAACAACTTCTCAGTATATTGCAATTTACACTTCAAATCGGCTGTTATTTTGGTGTAATCTAAGACTTATAAAAACGCATAGATATCTACAGATGTAGTCAAGTCAGAGCCAAATCATCGTTAATAGCATTATCAAGATAAAACATTTAAAAATAATTGTTACAGACTTAAAAAGTATGTGTAATACCAAAAGCCCCTATACCTTAAATGTGAGGTGATGCAGCCCCATGTTCCGCCACCCCTTTTCTTAAAGTTGCCGAATAAGGATATAGCGAATCTAATAAATTTCTATGACTTTTTGTTTCACATAGTCTTAAACTAGATAACATTGTGATCCAAGATTAACTTTAAGCTTTTAAGTTTATCCTTATGATCTGTTTTGTCTATCAGGTAGAAAATAATATTTGTCAAATATTGTGACAAAAAGGAAGGAGGATATTGCATTATATTTTCTTTTACTAAATTAAATAATTAGTTTGTCATCAAATTAATTCGATCAAAAATACCTTACTTAATACAGAATACCTAATTAATTACAAACTTTTTACAAAACTAGGGTTCCCACCAGATTCCAGGACTTTCCAGGACATTTGCTTCATTATTTCCAGGACTTTTCCAGGACTTACAAAAAAAAAAGTTATAAACTCCAAGACTTTTTATAGATAGCCCAAAATTTAATATTAGTCGAGTTACGTCATTTTTACGTCATTAATATTATTAGTCGAGTTACGTCATTTTCTAGACTTTTCTATTTTAAAGTAGTTTCTAGGCTTTTCTATACGCGGTTTTTTTTTTACTAACAACGCGTATTAAGGGTTGCTTACTGCTAGTGTAAATTAATATAGAAACCAAATGTAAATTAAAGAAATATATTACAGCTGCATAAATATAGCTACATCACTACAGCTACATAACTAAATGTAAATTCAAAAAATATTTGACAAGGAACTATTTTTTATTTAAAAGGCAACCAATTTCAAAAACATCAGAATCATTTTAAAAACTCATAAAAATACCATTTTAGCAAAACAACAAAAACAAAAACTTTACTCAATAACTATGTGTACAAAAAAATGCTCTCAAAATTAAGTACTGAATTTAACATTTTCTTTCAGATTTTCGACAAGAAGTTGTTTACCA